AGTAGAACATACCTTTTGTTGTTTGGATTCCTTGAGAACCTTGTGAGCCTAGCACCTCAAGTGTGATGCCTCAAATGTCTCACACAACACCACAATACTTGGATTAACCTTGAGAGAAGTTCACTTATACTCCAAAGGTTCTCAAGTATGATTCCAAATTAATTCTTTGATCAATAATAATTAAATAATATTATTAATATATTAGAACTTATAATATATTAATAATCCTTAAGTGTCCTTTCTCTCATTTAGTATATCCAAGTGTTGCAATGCCATGCCACCCAAATGGACCATGCCAACCGGGTCAAGCACATACCAAAAATAGGTATGGACTTACACACCTTATCCAAAATTATGTGGTTTATGTAGCTGATATAGCTAATCTGGTTTATGAGATTATGTGGATTGTGTGGGGTATGCTCTGCGGAACTCAGTAAGGATTAGCTTACAGTTTGTTGGTTGTTTTAGGTACTTCGGGATCTAAGCGCAAGGGCCCGGCGTGATGGCGCGGCATGCACTCTCTGGTGTTTTATTTGGGACACTATGATATTATGAATAATTTTATCTGATGTTATGGATTTTGAAAACAAATGTGTTTGGTAATTTTATATCTTATGGAAATGTTTTGGTTATTTAAAATGAATATTTTTATTAGAAATTTGGGTTGTTACAGTCATGCTCTAGCCGACTCAGGAGCAAGTGTTAATTTGATGCCCTACTCGTTCTTCAAGAAGCTCGATCTCCCCGAACCAAGACCGGTCCGCATGGTCATCCATTTAGCCAACAAGACCATGACCTTTCCAAGAGGTATATGTGAAGACTTTCTAGTAAAAGTTGACAAGTTTGTAATTCCCGCAGTTTTCATTGTTTTAGACATGGAGGAAGACGAACAAGTCCCACTCATCCTTGGAAGGCCCTTCTTGAGCACCGCCCGAGCCTTGGTGGATATTAGAGAGTCCAAACTCACTCTTCGAGTTGGAGAAGAAGCAGTCACTTTTGGAGTGAATAGAGCAATTCAACATTAAAGAATAAGTGATGACATGGCTTTTTCAGTTAATGTTATTGATGATGTACTTGAAAAAGAGCTAGGAGGGTGGAAAGAAAAATAGACCGAGGGATATATGGTGCTAGGAGAAGGTGACTTTGATGCCGATCTTGATATACAAGGATTGGAGAAGCTATTGGAGAAAAGCGAGTACAATGAATTGAAAAGGGAGACAGAAGAAGCAACACGACGTGGCATAGGCAACACGTCGTTGCCCTTAATTTTTCCACGATTTGACATTAAAAGTTGCGACAACACGACGTGGCAGCAGGCCCACGTTGTGGTGAATGAAAAAGAACAAAAAGTTAAGCTTTAAGCCTTGGCCGAACACCTGGAGTATGTATTCTTGGAAGAAGGACAACAAAAACCAGTAATCATAGCATCCGATCTAACAAAACACGAAAAAGAAAGCCTTATGGAAGTACTATGGAAAAGACAAAGTGCCATAGCATGGAAGATTACCAATATAAAAGGGATTAGTCCCGCCTATTGTTCGCAAAAAATTAACTTAGAAGAATGAGCTAAATTGGTGGTGCAACGCCAAAGAACACTAAACCCAAATATGCAAGAAGTGGTGAAAGAGGAGGTGGTCAAACTTTTGGATGCCAACATAATATATTCAATATCCGATAGCCCATGGGTATGTCTGGTACACGTGGTGCCAAAGAAAGGAGTAATAATGGTGGTTACCAACGAAGACAATGAGCTAATACCAACAAGAACGGCAACCAGGTGGTGCGTTTGCATCGACTATCGAAAGCTTAATGATGCTACATGCAAGGATCACTTTCCTATACCTTTTATCGATCAAATGCTCGAAAGGCTATCTGGTCATCTTTACTATTGTTTCCTAGATGGTTTTTCGGGGTACTTCCAAACTCCAATTGGCCCACAAGACCAATAAAAGACCACTTTCACTTGCCCAAGTGGGACTTTTCCATATAGAGGCATGCCATTTGGGTTATGCAACGCAACAACTACTTTCCAAAGGTGCATGATGGTTATCTTCCATGACACGATCGAGAAATTTTTGGAGGTTTTCATGGATGACTTCTCGGTTTTGGGGTCATCTTTTGAGGATTGTTTGACCAACTTAGACCTAATGCTAGCAAGATGTGAGAAGACCAACCTAGTCCTAAATTAATAAAAGTGCCACTTCATGGTAAAGGAAGGAATTGTGTTGGGACACAAAGTCTCAAAATTGGGGATAGAGGTGGATCGAGCAAAAGTTGACACTATAGCTAAATTACCACCTCCAACAAATGTAAAAGGGGTGAGGAGCTTTCTAGGCCATGCGGGATTTTACCGCCGATTCATCAATGTTTTTTCGAAGATAACAAGGCCATTGACTCAACTTCTTTTGAAGGATGCCCCATTTGACCTTTCTAAGGATTTCATGAAGCCTTTCAATTGTTAAAGGAAAAGTTGACTAGTACCGCTATTATGATCGCCCCAAATTGGAGTCTTCCTTTTGAGCTAATGAGCGATGCTAGTGACTATGCTGTTGGAGTTGTTTTGGGACAAAGGATTGACAAGCATTTTCAACCTATCTACTGTGCAAGCAAAACTCTAAACCCAGCTCAAGAGAATTACACTACTACCGAAAAGGAGCGGCTCGTGGTGGTTTATGCTTTTGATAAATTCTGCCCATATCTAGTTTTATCAAAGACAATCGTTTTTACCGACCATTTTGCCCTCAAGTATCTTTTTGCTAAACAGGATGCCAAACCAAGATTGATACGTTGGGTATTTCTTTTACAAGAATTTGACATTGAAATTAGAGATAAAAAAGGAATGGAGAACGTGGCTGTCGATCACTTATCAAGACTTTAAAACCCGCATTTGGAAGAATTGGAAGAAAACAAGACTGGAGATGATTTTCCCGAGGAATATCTTATGGTTATAGCAAGAGAAGTACCTTGGTATGCAGACATAACTAACTATTTAGCAAGTGATTATCTTCCATCAGAGTTGACACGTCAACAAAAGAAGAAACTATTTCCTGAAGTCAAGTATTACTTTTGGGATGTGCCATATCTATTCAGAAGTTGCGCCGACGGGATAATACGAAGATGTGTGTTCGGGAAAGAAAGTCTTGAAATCTTTAAACGTTGTCGTAACGGGCTCACTGGAGGACATCATGGAGCACAATACACGGCGAAAAAGGTCTTTGATATTAGGTTTTACTGGCCCACTATTTTCAAGGATGCTACTAAATTTGTTAAAGAGTGTGATTCGTGTCAGAGAACAGGAAACATTTCATCCCGAAACGAGATGCCCCAAAATAGCATCCAAGTTTGCGAGATATTTGATGTATGGGGGATTGACATTACGTTTCTAAATGAGCGGAGGCACAAGCATTACCTACTAATGATGCTAGGGTAGTGGTTCGTTCCTTTAAAGTTATTCTCAAGATTTGGTGTCCCAAAAGCTCTTATTAGCGATCAAGGTACCCACTTCACAAATGATCAATTGGCTAAGGTGTTACAAAAATATGGTGTACACCATAGGTTTTCGACATCATATCATCCACAAACAAGTGGGCAAACCGAAGTTACAAACCGGGCGTTAAAGCGAATATTGGAGAGATCGGTTGGCGTAACAAAAAGGAGTGGTCAGAAAAGCTTGATTATGCACATTGGGCATTTCGCACGGCTTTTAAAACACCTATTGGTACTATGCCATATAGGTTGGTATATGAAAAAAGTTGTCGCTTGCCGGTTGAAATTGAACATAAGGCATTTTGGGCTTTGAAGACTTGTAACTTTGATTTGGCCGAACTTCGTACCAACCATTTGATGCAATTAAATGTGGTTGAGGAATTAAGGAATGAAGCATACACTAGTTCATTAAATTATAAGGATAAAACGAAGGAATGGCATGATACAAGGTTAAAAGGGCGAAAGGATTTTCATGAAGGTCAAAAAGTGCTACTTTTCAATTCAAAGTTAAAGCTTTTTCCCAGAAAATTACAAACCCGGTGGGATGAACTTTTCGTTATCAAATAAGTTTTCCCACATGGTACCATTGAGTTAATATCAAGAGATGGAACTCCCTTCAAAGTTAATGGGCATAGAGTGAAGAATTGTGAGGAAGGTATGCCAATTGAAGAAAGAGAAAGGGAAACTATGGAACTTGCACTAGCTGAATCAACGTAGACGGGAAAGAGTCCGGCTCATGACTCCCCAAAAAGAAGCGCTTGCAGGAGGGAACCTGTGATTTTGAGTTTGCATTTCTTTCCTTTTCTTTTATTTTCTTTTGTTTATTTTTGTTTTATTTATGTTTGATTTTACTCTCTCATTCTTCTAAATTTTTATGGATTTCGAAGTCGGGAATGGCATGGAATGAGTGTGGGGTGGAGACTTTGATAAAAACTTTGACTAAATTACAATTTTTTTTACACCACGACGTGGTATATCTCAACACACCGTGGTGATTTTCTAGAAAACAAACCACAAATTTTTATGCGACACCACGACGTGGTGACATTTTAAACTCAGTCAATTTAGGATTTTATTCCACAGTCAAAACATTTTCTTACTTTTTACTCTACGCATCTCTCTCGTCGTGCCCTTGTTCCCACGAAGAACTTCATCCTTCTACCTTCAATTTCTTTGCTCTTTCAACAAAAAGGTATGATTATTATGTTATTTATATGATACTAATCGAGTATTTGCTAGTATGTGGTTTGTAATTGCTGATTAGAACAAGATTAGGGTCGATTTTGAGAATTTAGGGTTTCAATTTTTTCAAAAAATTGGACCAAGATGTTGATGTTTTTGGCTTGAGTTTGTTGCTATCTTACTTGTCTTTAATTTCTTTGTGACAGTTCGTCGACCACGACGACTCGTCGTGGTCCTCGACGTGGTGAACATTTTGAGGCCTAATCTCTTTTATTTTGATTTTAATCTTGCATATGGTTTCCTTATTTGTTCTGTTTGGTAATTTTGCATCCATGGCTAGCCGTTCACGCCGCAACCAACCCGGCCAACGCAACGATTACCCATGGTACACTTTTCTATGGGTTGTTGGTCCCGAAGTTCTATGGAATGCAAAGCTAGAGTGGATGAAGCAAAGGAAAATTCATGTTCTTGCAGTTTTCAATTGGCAATGGAGTGAACAAACGGGCTTATTGGAGGGCATCGAGCCATATTTTGTTAGGAACTTTGCTGGGGTACATGGCCAGTTTAAGTCCATGGGGTGGAGACAGTTATTCCAAATCCAAGAGATCGTATACAAGGAATTGGTAATTGAGTTTTTAGGCACAATTTCTTTTCGAAGGAAAGATGGAGCATTTGATGAAGACAACCTCACTTTTTTCCTTGGTGGGGAATGACTCACTCCTAGCCTTGCTGATTTCGCGTTGAGGATGGAAATCTATACTACGTCTGAGGTCCATTCTGAGCCATATCTCCAATACATTAAGGGTTCCATGCGTATTACGGAGGGTTTCAAGGCAGAAACGCATTGGAACAACATAGAAAATGAAGCCTATCATAAGGGGACAGCTTAAGAAAGTGACATTCGGTCCCCTTTTCATCGACTCTTGCATCGTTTGATAACAAATACGATAAATCAAAGGCAAGAGGGGGACAAGGTCCCTACTATTTATGTATTTTTTCTATGGGCCTTAACGACTCCCGATGTTTATGTGGACCTTCCTTTCCTGTTGGCGGAGTTTCTTGCAGTTAGAGCGGGAAAAGACAGGCGTGGCTGTCCTCTTTATAGTGACATGTTGATAACTCGCCTTGCATGATCATTTGGTATTCTCGAGAAACATATGGCTATGTTCTTGACAATTGAGCCACATAAATCCTTCTCTCCTCTCCTTTATAAGAGGGCACACATTGTTGAAGATCATGGGATAAGTACTTTTTCCATTCCCGCTGACACCCCCTCCCCCCGGCAACCAACCCGGGAGGCGGGTCCGACGAAGAGGAGGGGAACGAGAAGAAGATGAGCCGCCGGTGGTCCCGACAGAGGAAGAGCTTCCCATGGATCCTTACAGTGTGACATATAGAAGATTTCAGGATAACTTGGCAAGGAGCGGGAATTATAGTAATGTGAGCAGATTATATGTTGCAGCAGCTACACTTGTTTAGACCCAATCATTTTCCTGCGTCGTACCTTTATATGCCGAGTTGGGAGGAATTGTGGCGAGAGCAGCAAGGCGGAGCAGGTGGAAGCGGAGGAGGCTATGGTGATGATAAAGAATGAGAGTTTCTTTGGTGTTTTTATTTTTCATGTGTTTGGTTTGTTTGTTTTGGTTTGTTGGATACATATCTTTGGTTTTGGTTGTTTAACTATGTTTCCTAGTTTCATTACTTTTCTTTGATTTATATTCAGGGAATTTTTAGAGTCCGAGTGAGGATATTTTTTGCAAAAGGAGGTTCTTTATAGAGAAAGATTAGAAAACGGCGAGAGAAGTGAGATTATAGCGTTTTCGGGTGTTTATTTGTGTCAACGAGTGAAGAATCACGCCTAAGATATGCGTACATTAGTTGGCCCCACCACATATTTCAGACATCTATTTATTTCGGCACATGTAATTGCCATTTCAAGACCAACACGTTGTCGCAATATACAACACGTCGTGTTGTCGCAATCAGAACACCGTAAAAATATTCTTTGTGAACCACCACAGTGTGTTCCATTTCACCATGAGGTGGTGCCTTTTCAAGACCGTTTTTCGATTCTGATCAAATACATTCTGAAGTCTAAGTGTCCAAGTCCTTAATAAGTGAAGGAGGGTATATTTGGAAAGATTATTTATCTCGACGAGTGGCGTTTCTAATTATAAGTTGATTTCCATGGCATGAATGAGTTGTTCCCACGCCATGGATTTTTATTTTGATGCGATGACGAAGTATTATTCCGGATGCTACGACATGGTTGACACTTTCCTATGTTATGGGGGAGTTTTTCATCACGTAAGGAGGATGCCATTCTACATACCACTTCTGTTTCCACAATTTCGAGCAAGCTGGCTTTCCTAGACATATCCACACGATTCGAGATGCATCTTCTATCTCAGGGGAGTCTGTTCCTTTTTCTCCCTATTTAATTATATGTTTTTTTTCATAATATGCAACGAGGGCATTGCATAAAACAAGTGTGGGGTAGAGGGTATATTGCATTATAGAAAAGCATTTGATTTTTCAAAACGTGCATTGCTTGTTTCAAATTTTGCATTCATTTAAACTTGAAATAATAGTTTAACTTAGGAAACTTATCTAATTAAAATTTTCCTAGTATAGTATGGGATGATCCGATGAGAACCTAAATGTTTACCCGAGCCAATATATGTTATAGTGTATTTGTGGCTTCCCATTTCTTACGGAAAAGGCATGAAGTATGAAAGGTAATCTGGTAGCTTATATGATGCAATAAGTTATGCAGCCTGTACCTGAAATCTATATAGGAAAGCTTTAGTAGTCATTACATCTAGACTAATGCCTTAACCAATAAAGGTTGAAATTAAGCTCCTTGCTTAAGCATGTAGGTTTTGAGTTAAAAAAAGTGAGGTACATGTAAAAAAGATAGAAATTACCAAAAAAGTTGAAAGAATTTTGGATCAGTCAAGGTATAAAATTTAAAGATCAAAATTAAAAAGAAATTAAAAAGTTGAAGATACCAAAAATCAAACAAAGAAGGAGGTGAACACTAGTAAAGGAGTGAAGGCGAATTTCGTTATTATAGGAATCGGTAACCAATTGAACTATAATCCATTCCACTTCCATGAATCAACCATAATAACAAATAAATATGAAGCTAAACGAAAGTACCTTAATTAACTTGGTTAATTAATCTTCGTGTTCCTTTCTTAGTTTAGTGTTAGCTTAATTAGTTGATAGTTAGTTAGTTTGGTAAATCAAGTTTCTAGTATTGTAAAACTAGAGAAAAACCATTTTCCATTTTATTAGTAATTAATTAGTAGTAGATAAAACACTGTTCCCTGTGTTCGATACATGTCTAGTGTGTTATACTATCTGTTGGATTTGGTGTATAAGCTCATAACTATAACTGGTATGTACTTGACCCGAGTGTAGCATAGTCCTTTTGGGTTGCCTTCACCAGTGCAATTTGATAGGATGTATTTTGAGAATAAGGTTATTTATGGCTTATTAATATATTACAAGTAGAATATATTAATACGGAATTATTTTATTAGTAGTGATCAAGATTTAATTTATTAATTTTGTGATCAAAAGAGACTAATTCAATATATGGGGATTGATATGTAAATCAATCATTCTTGTAGTATGGGCTAATGATCCATGATTATGGGCTAAAATAATCCGTGGATAGTCCGTGGAGGTTAAACCCATGGAGCATGAGAATGTGTAACGTCATGGGTTATTAGGGTTTACCAAGTGTAACCCTAGCACGTCCAACACTATAAATAGAACCCTCCATAGCCAAAAATGGTTGCCTCCTCTGATTGAGACAAGTAACTTATTCTATTAAATCATCCTCTTGCATATTGGTGTTTGTGAACAATTAGAGGCATCACACTTGAGGTGCTCAAGCTTTCAAAGGCCAATAACTACAAGTCCTTTTAAAAGGTATGTCATCTATCTAGATGTTTTATTCATTTGGCAATTTGTATGCTAGTTAGGACAATGCTTTGGAAAAATCGAAAATATGTATGTATAATAGAGAAAACATAGATCCAAAGCATTTAGGGTTGCATGTGCACCATAGGAGTGTTATAGTGCTCAAAACCTAACAGTGGTATCAGAGCCTAGGATTGTTTTCAATTATATTTGTTGCTTACTAGTTTTTTCAAAGCTGAAAAAGTCGAAATTTTGGCCTCCGACTGTTGAACTCGTCGAGTACATGAACAGAATTTCGAGTTGAAGGCAACTCGGTTAGTCCAGTTCATGTACTCAACGATTCCACTCAGTAACAAAGCAACTCGGTTAGTCCAGTTCATGTACTCAACGAGTTGAAGGCTCTGTGTGCAGAATTTCGAGTTTCTTGACCTGGTTTGGATTTGGAACACTACCACAAACTGCTTTGGATCATTGAAAATGTTTTTTATGATATGGTAGTGCTTGTACTCATCCAACCACAAGATAATTGTCAAAATTTTAAAATAATTGTTGTTTTTATATGATAAACAAAATTGCTTTTAAATTGTTGATTAGAAATTATCTTGATTATGAGTTTAGTTAGATCATAGATTATGTGATAATATTAGTGGTTAGAAAAATGATCTAAATGCATTTTAATGACCTCCATAACTTGTCCTCAAGTTATGGAAAATGAAACGTCTCATACATTAAAATCCAATTAAACTCTTAAGTTATGAATGTGAAGAGTTTTGACAAGTTTCAAATCTTGCCCTCAAGTTATGGAATTTGTAAAGTCACACTAATGAAACTTTAATTCCAAACCCTAGAGTTCTAAAAGTTAAAATTCAACCCTTATACTTTATAATATTATAAGTTTAACAATATATATATATATATAGATATATATATATATATATATATATATATATATATATATATATGACAAAGTCAGTCTTACCGTTAGTAGGCCTCATTCACGAAGCTGATCTATAAGAAGGGGGGGGGGAGGGGGTATAAGGTTACTGCCTATAAAATGGTAGTTAATGGGTGTCCACTCTCAGCCACCGCTTCCTTGACTGGTGCCGAACGGGTAGGATAGGACATTAATTCTCGCTCATTAAAAGTATATTGGTAAAATATAAAGCAACTAAACTTTTATTAAAATTCGCAATCTTAGTTACTTTAGGAAAAATGTGAAATGGTGCTAATCCATGAAATTACACTTTGCACCTTGTTAAGTCATTATTGGAGCATGTGTGGTTAACCGACACACTACTATGGGACTGACAATGTGTGGCAAAGGGTAACTTGGTGTTAATCATAGATCAATGGAGCATGTGTGGTTAACTGACACATTGGTTAGGTGATTTGTAACATTGGGTGTACCAAGCTAATTTGCATGGTTATTCACTCCTTGTTTGTGATCATCGGCATCCCAGTCACAAACTTGAATGGCACAATCAAGATTTAAACATGCCATTGAAAAGTTTAATGAATCTCAAATATCTAGGAATTTCAAATCCAATTAAAAACTTAATAATCTATTTTTTTCATGGTGGAAGTTGGTAAATCGTCATTTACCTACCATCAAATATTTTACAATTGGATTACGACATCCCTTTCCGCAATTGTAGAATATTGTGTTGGGTCCTAGCCTTAATATTTCATATTGGGTGTAATATTAAGGATTATCATCTAATCTAAACTTTGTTCTTCTTCTTTTATAGATGTCTATCCTAAAGAATGCTTCCAACTCAAT